CAAACTCTGTCTCTGTCTCTCTCTCAAAAATAAACATTACAAAAAAAATTTTATATGAAAGTTTAAATATATAAATTATTTAACTTTGGGGATTTCTTTATAACAGAGCCACTAAAAACTGAAATGTTTTTATAATTTCTTTTTTTTCCCCCCTATTTTTCCCAGATGCTTCAAGAAATTTCACTTGTGGTGAGCCACTGTAGACTCCTTGGAGAAGAAATTGAGTTTTTAAAGAGATGGGGACCAAATTATAACCTAATGAACATAGATGTGACTAATACCGAGTAAGTGTATTACTTTCCCAGGGCTGCCTTAACAAAGTGCTACAAACTCAGTGGCTTTAAACAACAGCAATTTATTGTTTCACAGTTCTGGAGGCTAGAAGTCATCAAGATGTTAGCAGGGTTTGTTCTTTCGGAGGGGCTAAGAGAATCTGTTTCATGCCTCTCTCTTAAATTCTAGTGATTTGCTGGCAATCATGGACATACCTTGGCTTATAAATATATAACTCCAGTATCTGCTTTCATCTTCACATCATGTTCTTCCTGTATGCATATTTGTGTCCAGGTGCCCCCTTTTTATAAGGACACCAATCATTTTGGATTAGGAGACCATCCCACTCCAGTAGGACTCCATCTTAACTAATTAAATCTGCAATGATCTTACATTCTGAGATACTGGGGGCTAGGGCTTCAACATACGAATGGCAGTAGGGACATAGTTCAATCTGTAACAATAAGTAAGTAATCAAAAACTTACTAAAATGATTTCTTTCAGTGAATTTTATGACTAACAATGGAAATGAACAACCATAATAATACTTTGTTCCAGATGTTTTACCCTCTGTCCATTTGATAAGGACAAGAAATAATGTACCACCTAAGTTTCACCTACCAGTGTAAAAAGAAAATATATTTGTTTCATTCTATTTTTGTTTTTTATTTTTAATTGAGGATCTTGTCTTTTACAGATTGAGGCTTTTATTCTCCAGCTCTGCAGCATTTGCAAAGTTTGAGATAACTTTACCTCTCTCAGTTCATTTTCCAACTGTCCGCTTACCTTTTTCCATTCAAAATCACCTTGGAAACATTGGGTAAGTAAAGGGCCAGCAGGATAGGGCTCCTAATGACTTTTCTACCTCTCCTCTATTATTTGAAAAATCTCTCAAAGTGGCCAGAAATAATGGATATATACCATTATTGGATATGCCAATTATGGATAATCCATACTGAGTGCCAAATGTTACTCCTGACTTCCTTTTGAAGGATTTGTTCTTATAATTTAGTGACCTTCATTGCTAGCACCAGTGGATACTGGAGACCACTGGTATATTCTTTTATACTTGCTCCTAAAACAGGAGCCCAAAAAGGAAAAAAATGGGTATAAGCTTAGCCCGGATCATATATAAACAACCTTTATGCCCTTAAAAACAGAATATCACTTAATCACTTAGTAATCATTTAAAAAAGATGTGCAGTCATAATGCTTTTCTCAATTAGCCTTTGTAACCAGACATAACAATATTTCATTCGTATTTGTGACTTTTTAGACATACAGTTGACAGTTTGTAAGATGGTAGAGTTTAGAATGCACCCACCTCAAATCCATCAGCAAACACCAGCAGTTTAGATTTTTAGCTAAGTCAAGATACCCCCCCCAGTTCATACAGAATTGCTCTTAGGCCTTGTTTTTGGAATCCCAGTTCAAACTTGGCAGTCTATTTTTAGAAATGTCTATTTATGCTTCCTAAAAGACTCAGAGACCATACCCAAAAACATGAATTCCACTGAAAAGCTATCGATAAGTAAGTTTCCAGAAAAATTAATGAACCTTTTGTTCTTTCTAGCCAAGATGAAATCACTGCAATTCTATCTAAAGTGCCACTGGAGGACAACTACCTAAAGAATGTAGTCAAGCAAATTTACCAAGATCTACTTCAGGACTGCCATTTCTACCACTAGACCTATGGACTACAGCTATAATAACCAAGCATAGCGCACATCATAATGATATTACGTCGGAGTATCCATTGCTATTTGATCTTTGTCTTTAGGTCACAGAAAGAAGCCTCATAAAATTCCTCCTGATGATGTTATAGTTAATTTGTATGGCTAGTTTTTAAATCTCTACAGTCAGGAATGATGAAAGTCCTCAAATAGCCTTTTATCAACTTGCTCATCTTTTTATGAAAGGTTCAAATAGTAGAACACTTAGGGAAAATTTCTTCTAATTAAAGTTGTGCTCTTTGCTTTAGTACAAGCCCTACAGAGTAACTTTAAGTGGAGCTGTCACCGCTGACAAAAACATTAGCCATTTCCTCATATGTACAGCTCTAATTTTTTGGCTGCCGGCCTTCTGTCTAGTAGGTATTTTTCTGGGTTAGAGATTTATCTGTCTACACACTACTCATCCTCCTTTTTCTTCATTTTAAAAATTTTATTAAGAAAAAGCAATAGCACTCAGCTATTCAAATGGTTGCCAGCTTTTCTAGAGGGCCTTGCCTTTTATTATGTAACATGTGTTAATATTTTCTCAGTATAATTTTATAGAGAAAGTTAATTCATTTTGGGCCAGTACATATATGTAAATATATTGATATTTTTTTGTTTTTGTGATGTAGTAAGGAGATATATATATATATATATATACATATGGAAATACATAGTCGTGTATAGAGAGATACTCTTCTGCCTAGGCAATTTCCGTCTTTCTGAAGGATGCTTTACAGCAAGATTCTCAGTCTCTTTCTATCAAATAATTGTACTTCAAACAATATCAAATTTAAAACCACCAGTTCTGTCAAGTTCTGGCAGTAGTAATGAATTTAATGTGAGAATTGGTTTCTGAAGCCACACCCTTCTCATAAACAAAAATAAGCCATATCCATTGATATTGAATGACCAGTATTATCTGTGAGATAAATATGAGAAAATTTTTACCCAAACTTTAATTGAATCCTAATCATGATAATTTTTTCATTTCTTTTATATTTAATTATAAACTAAAGTATATTTGCATTTCAAACTAATTCATATTAAAATTTTGCTTTATACTTTACGATCAGGTTAAAGTCCTCTGGGTCCCATGAATGTTATCTTCGCTCTTAAATTGGCTTTTACTTCTGAGCTATTGGTCAGAAAGATCACATGGTCTTTTAAACCTCCAATTCAACATAAAATTTATTTTCCATAAAAATCAAGATGTAAATATTCTTGAAAAACTTTTAAAGTCACCAATGTGGCCTGTTTTCCATGAAACTTAAATTAGTTTTCTTACTGGAGTTGTTTTATTTATTTTCTGTAAACCTAAAAAGTAGAAATTTTCTTTTGTTCATTTTGGTAAACTGGAATGACCAGCTTCAAGAATGATTTGGCTTGTAATTATGGACTCTGCTTTCTTGGGTTTAGATACAAAATTGTAATATATGCCTAGTTACTTGCATTTGTATTTGTTCAAAGGATTGGCTATTTTTATAAAAATTTTTTGGAAATTGTTCCTTCACTAATTAGAAGCAGACTGGTTTTTGCACTATTAAAATAAGTTTATTATATGAAATCTTTTTTTTTTTTTTTTATGTTTGTTTATTTTTGA